TACCGGGTGCCACATCATTCCCCCATTGGCGTTTGAGGGACTGTCAGACCTCACTCCACGTGCACGGCACACAGTCTCACTCACGCGCCCAGTTAAGCACCTGCTTCATGCTCAGTACTCAGCGCTGACTCTTCTCCCACCGAGAGGGGTGTGGCCGAAGGTGGGTAGGTTGTATAAAAATTGGAGTGATTTCTGTTTATATTAGAAATAGTGATGCAAATGGTTCGTAATATTTGTGGTTTTGTTCTGGAGATGGTTGTCGTGATGTAATGTTAAAGGTGTTTTTCTTTGTTTGCATTAAGCATCAATAGGTGCCATTCGTATTTGTCTAGAGGTGCTACAGACTGTACGTTTCGGTTGTTCTTCGTGGGGTGAACGTCTTGTTTTCTCTTTTACCCTTGTGCCTATATTTTCATGTTCGTGTGTGGCCTGACGTCGTATGGGAAGAACAGTAGAGTTACGTGTGGTGTGGGACAGGTAAAGATATGCATAAGCAGAATGTATTGTTTGATTTATTTCCTTGAAGTACGTAGTATTGTGGAATACAAGTCGACATTTTTTGCTCTTTGCTCGAAGTTGTTTGTTTTTGGTTTTGCTTTTCGTACTTGTTACACTGCTTCTTTTCGCTCCCTGCATGACACCCATCTACACATATGTATATATGGCTGAGATTAGCGTTGTTCTACCCCAAATAGCCATGGTTCGAATGGCGGTAATTTTTCTTCACTTTTTATGCTGTAGTGTTGCGCAGTTCCGCTTCCTCTGTGGACATCATCCCTCCATATGGGAGGTGAATTACCTCACACGCAGTAACACTTGTTGGGTTGATGTACACATCACCTGTCAGTGCCGCCACGGCGATGTGCATGACGGGCGTCTCCACGACATTGGGAGGCTCCTTCAGCTCAAGCAAAACATCATACAAGCAAGTCCTGGCAGCGAGCGCCATGTATTCCGGCTGTCGGCACAGCGGGCAACGGTCTTCTAAGCCAGACAGGTGCCGCACGCGCTCGAGACACTCAGCATGAAACCAGTGGTGACACGCCGTCTCCACAAGAGCAAACTCAGCAGCACTGCTGCTCCTATCATTGCTATTGTTGTGTTTTTCAGGATCAAGCGGTTGTAGGCATATAGAGCACTCATCGTCCAACTTCCCTTGATGCACCATCGTATCAGTATGGGTCGTTACTGTACATGATGAGAGCCAATCAGTGGGGGGCGTGGGGAGTGCGTCAAATTCCTCCGCAAACGATGAATGAGCCGCGGAGTTGCTCTGTGGTAACTGCCATGCACAGAGTTGAAGACCCCGCGGGGCGAGTGCAACACGCAGACGGGCGTTTTTCCCCTCATGCACGACCGACTGAACGCGTAGTGTGCACACTGAGGTGAGCGCGAAGGGTTTGTACTGCGGTGGCAACAGCGCCAGCTGAAGACGGCGGAATGCCTCATGCACAAAATACACCACACAGGCTATGCAGAGATCAAAGCCACAACAACCTGTGAAGAGGCGCACTTCACTGCGCAGCTTATTTGGCGCAAGGGCTTGAAATCCTACATACAATTCCATACGGCAGCAGGCATCGCATATATAGCCGTGAATGATGTTATTTGGAATGGGCATTGGGTTAGACAGCTCCAAGTGCAGAGTGGCTTTGGAGAGTAGAAAGGTGAGTTGCTGCCTCTCTACGTGGGACAAAATAACACGCACCACCTCGTCAGAGTACAGCGGCGCCACACGAATGCAGCCATCAGCAAAATTGTGACGATCAGGCGATTCAAGACATGGGAGTTGCACTGGCGGTGTGGGGCATTCCTCCATCGCGTCTTGTGATTCCTTACTACTACTACGTGATGCACCATTATTATTATTGTTGTCGCTGCTACTGTTATCGTTGTTATTGTTGTTAACATGTCTTCCATCATTTCTGCCATTCTCCTGGAGTTGTCGATTCTGGGCGAGGTGCTGTTTGAGTTGCTGGGAG